AAATAGTCAGCAGTGTCGCAAGAAATGTGATTAACTGCAAGAGATTTGAGAAGAATCAAACATGAAGCTACAGGAACCCATTAGCCTCCAGTGCTGTCATATTTCAGAACTGCAACCTACCTGGAGAGCCCAGAGGTACAAGTGTTCAGTGCTCAGAGACAGGGCCAATAAAGAAGGCTGAAACCTGACCACCACTAAACAAGAAACATATGCTGAAAAGTCAAGACTGGACCAAGAAATATCTGCTGACAGATTTTTCAAAGGTTTTATGGACTGATGAGATGAGAGTGACTCTTGACGGAACAGATGGATGGGCCCGTGGCTGGATCAGTAATGGGCACAGAGCTCCACTTGTTGGATCTTTTCAGGTTGAAGATGAAATGATCTCTAAGACCTATTGCCAGTTTTTAGAAGACACTTTCTTCAAGCAGTGGTACAGAAAAAAGTTTGTATCTTTCAAGAGGATCATGATTTTTATGCAGGACAATGCTCCGTCGCATGCATCAAAGTACTCCACGGCATGATTAACCAGTAAAGTCCTTAAAGATGAAAAAATACTGACATGGCCCTCTCCCTAACCTGACCTAAACCCTAACTTGTGGGCCTTTCTTAAATGGGACATTTAGGATGAAGGAAAACTGAACAGTGTCTGGGAGGCTGTGGTTGCTGCTGCAAAAAAATTGATTGTCAACAAATCAAGAAACAGACAGACTCTGTGAATGGAAGGCTTATGACAGTTTTTAAGAAAAACTGTGCCTATATTGGTCATAAATGTATTTATTTATTTATTTATTTTTATTTTTTTTGAAATGGGAGAAATGTTTATTTGTAAATTCTGAGTTGTATATTCTGACAACATATACTGACGAAAATACACAAGTGAGAACGGATTTTTTTTTCATTTAGTTGCATAATAATTCTGCACATTAATAGTTTGCCCAATAATTGTACACACATTTTCTCCCAAGAAAGCCAAAACTTCACTTTTACTTTCTTAAATATTCAGGTTTGGGGTTTATTAACATTTTGGGTTAACTGAGAGCACTGTATTTGTTCAATTCTAAAATGAATCCTCATAAATACAACTGGCCTAATAATTATGCATGTAATATGAGCCCTTAAATCTAATGATGTTTTTCACTTTAAAAATACGATTTATTAAATCTTATGTGTTGTAAGGTTTTGAGGAGAATAAGACACGTGACAGGGAGGTTCAGTTGAATTTGCCATGTTTTTTATTGATACATTTGTAGGAACTACTTTGTAGGAACATTTAACAACACTTTTGAAGCATGCCCCACAGTACCTGTTCTAACAAACTGCAAGAGGTTTTGAAATGGGTAAAACATAACCAAATAATATAGCTCCTAGCAAAATAAAAAGAATCATGCATTTTATGATACATCCAACAGATTAAACGGCTCATATTACCCCATTTTCTGATCTAAGTTATAACGTTTCCTCATCTGAAGTTGTAGTTAGTTTCACTCACATGTTTAACACACAAGCCCTGCAAATTTAGGCTGAGCTTTTCTCTAAAATGCAAAATACTCCTTTCCAAATTGTGATGTCATGTGATAATATAAGAAGTGCTCTACTGGGTTTTTAAACTCCATACAACTTCGCGAGAATCATTTGCATAATTTTATTACATTTTTTTTTTACTTTATGTAATCACAGTAAACCAGTCACGTATTAATAAAACTGGTTTTGAAACGGCCAGCTCTGGCTTTTATTGGGTGCGTCAAGTCTTATGAATGTATCTCTCATTTCTTTAATGACTTTTTATAGCCAATAAAAGGAGTCATCTGCTTGTCTCCATGGAGATTTGTTGAACGTTCCAGGCAAAACAACATCTCCATCATGGACAAAACTCAAGAACTCTGACCCTTCACCTGAAACGTTATGCAGAGCCCCTAAACCTTCTTAACTTTCTCATGAAACTTTTTTGAGATCTTCCTTTTGTTCAAGAGTGCAAAAGAGAGGACTGTATAAAGAAGTGGACTAAAGGAGTGTGGCGTCATCCATAGCGTTCGGCTCCAGTCAAATGAAGCTCCCAAGGCTAGCAGCTATATCCATATTAGGGACACAATAAAAAGTGTTCTGAACCAGAGACCCTGTGGTTTTGGGCAAAGACTTACTGTACAATTTCCATATGCTCAAATGCTCAGTAAATGTATTTTGGTTAAAAATAAAATAAAAATCTCCATTAACAACACATAAATTGCACATTACAGTAGCTCCCCATGTAGTTGTTTATATAGCTTACATTAGTACATTATTTGAACAGCGGATTTTCACCTCTTCAAACTATTACGTAACTTCTCTTTGTGCATTAGACTGGTGTGTTTGAGGAGATTTGTTACATTGACAGATGAGAGAGGCCTCGTCTTGGCTGAGAAGAGGAGAAGGCGTGTCAGACAGTCCTAAACATGATCAGAGCATGAGTCAGCAGGAAATGTCCATCAGCACTAAATTCTGCTCTGTGTAAATTACTGACAACTGTAACACATGCCAAGAACAGACGTTTCAACCCTCTAGTTTTTATGTGTCTGAGCCTATAACTTGTGGACAACCATTCATATTTCCTCCCTATGCAAACAGACTATAGTTTCAGTGGGTTTATGTATGTGGGTTTCCTTTATAGACTGTGGGCTAATGCCACTTTCATTCATCAGCAATTCAGAGGATACATACATACATTTATATCTTATGAATAAGGAAGGCACTACTGCTTCATTTTAAACTTAAAGTAGTTTAAATCACTGTATAAAAATATAGTTGTATGTTTGTATGATCTCTTAGATTATTTTTCTCTAATTATTGTACTAATGTTTAAAAAGTTAAATAATTACAAATAAACAAAAACTAATACACGCAATAATGATTAATAATTAGTAATAATGATTAAAAGGAAAAAAAAAAGAAAAAAGATGACATGATATGACATGACATGAAGTCCGTTACAAAATCACAGGGAGGGCAACCAGATTTCACCACACAAAAGAATTTGTCAGCACTTAAAAACAAGACTTATGACTTACTGAATAAGTTTAATATGATAAATACTATTACAATATTAATATGAATAAATATATTATATTTGTTTATTGAAAAAAAAAAAAAAAAAAAAAAAAAAAAAACAAGCAGATGCGAACACAATGCTAGTGGTTAGGGGTGTATTTGGAGTTGAGTTTCATATTAGGAAAAATATAGGAATTTATTAACAAATAAAATAAAAACACCAGGATCTTGTAGAGCAGGTTAATACGAAGATTTTAACACCAAAATGATGAGGCTCACTGCAGCAGTTGTGACAATTTTTCAACGTAAAGTCAGTCAGAAACAATGCAAATGGAGCCAGACGTGCCCCCATGTTCATTTCCTGTTTGGACCGCAGCAGTTAGCAGGTTAGCTATATCCGTTTATAAACAGTCTACAGTCAGTGGTCCAGATCCTCGCTTGGTGTAAGATCCAATCACCACAGTCGCATGAACTGCAATTTGTGTCATTCTCTGTCACAAATGATCTAAACCCACATCATCTCTCGTCACGTTGAAGTGTGACAAACGTCTGCCAGTGCCACCTGTTTCATAAAGTCTTCGCTGCTAACCGTCTGCTAGCACGGAGCGAGGTGGCACCATGAGTCAGGTGTAAGTGATGATAGGTACTTTATAAAGTTACACCCAGATTGTTGTGGTTACGACTTGTGTTTGAACCTGCCCAAAGTCAATTCACTGAAATAGATCTTAGACTTACTCAATGGTTTTTACTGGGAGCATATTTTCATCCCTCATCATGAGATGGCTGAGATGACTGTGGTTAAGGAGCTAGCGTGACACTGCTACACACAACAGTAGTAATTTAACATGGGGAGACTGTGTGAGGCAGATAATGTGACAGATCGGGTGATCAAAACAACACAAAAACATAGTGACAAGACACTAAAGTAGGTCTTGTAAGATTATATGACATTTAACAGTCTCACCAGGAGTGCAGCAGAAAGTGAACCTAAAAGGCACGTTTACCTAAACTGTCAATCAAACCCATTAGGCTCTCAGATTGGAATGACAGTGTTTTCAAAGCTTTGAATTGCCAATATTGTTATGTGTTATATTTGATCTGAGTAAAAAGAAGTAGATTTTCAACATTTCCCCAACGCACTTATTACTAAGTAGGAATGTTAAAAGTGTTAATACGGAGATATTAATGTGACTAAAACTAGTATAAAATCAGATACTCAATACCTCATACATATTCATCGTCATTATAATATAAATATTATATTTATATTTTAATTAATGATTTATTATGTTTTATATTTAGTATATAGTGTACATTTTGTCTGTTTGTGTTTGTGTGCTGGCATGTCACACTTACCTGGGGACTATAGTTGGAATAGCTGCATAGCTAATACTGGTGCATTTACTGAAATGTTTATTAATGTGCATTGTCCCTATTCACTAACTAACTTACTTATTGCTAAATATTATTATTTTATGTTGAAAATTACATTTTTGGTGGATTTTTATTATCACTGTGGTATTGAAGGGAATAGGTCTTTTCTTTAGCATTGAAATCACAAACTTTAATGTGACAAAACTACTTCTTTTTTAAATGGGGATTTCAGTATCAACTACATTTTTAATCTTTCTCAAATGCATAAACTTGCGTGAGTGCTCATTAGCAGTGATATAGCCGACATATGTGACTCTGACATAGCTGTTACTAAATCAGGCTGTGAACATTTAGCATTAATGTTTCCGCCCACACCTTCCACAGTCACACTCTTTTCCTTTGTCATGCTTTCTTTAGTATTTACACAGCTTCAGTTGGTTGGCAGACCCCCCGCCCCCCCATCCCCTTATCATCCCACTAACCCTAACCCACATATGAGCTCCTTTTTTGGGAGTGTTTTCTGGAACACATCCGACTGGTTTACCGCTCTGTCCCTCCAGGCGCACGTCTTCACTGTGAGTCAAAGTCTGGCTCTGCTCCAGTGCAGGCGCACAGCACAGAGGTGACAGACAGACAAAGACAGAGAGAGGTAGAGAGTGTGAGGTGAGACAGAGGGAGGGAGGGAGAAAAAGACAGAGACAGAGAGAGAGAAGAGGAGATCATAACTATCCATTCTGAGTTTGGGTCAGGAGGCTGTGATGGAACAACATTACAACTAACCTAATTCAAAAGATACACTACAATGAAACCACTCAACCACCCACTTCACAGGTAAGTCACGTCAGATCATTCATAACATTTGTACTGCAGCAGAGCTTCCTCCAACTTTTTACACAAAGTACCACCTAAAGTAAAAATGGGCTCTTCGTGTACCACCAGATCTTAATTAGGTCTAAGGCTGGCCTATATTCCAGGTCTAAGTTAGGGCTACACCATGTCTCAACTTGAACTACCATTACTAGAACAGTTTTAAGCAATAACGCACCCAGAGGACAAAAGATTGTACAAATATTAGTACTGTAGAGGACCTTGCATACCTGAATGAGCTGTTTCTGTGTACTATTGGAATTTGATTGGCGTTCAAGTAGGTCTGTAGAGGATGGTCTGCAAAAAAACAAATAAAATAAAACTGAAAGGAAGCTTTTTTAGTGATCAAAGAGATATGAATATAATATGTTTGGAATGTGGTTTGGTGTTGAAGCTATTTAGTTCCTTGTGGACAATACTTTTTCTTTTATTTCTCTTTTATTTTGTGGACTTAGAAAAACTTACAGAAAATCAAGGATTAAAAAAAAAAAAAAAGACATAGTTTAAAGATGCTAAAGGTGCACTATAACTTTTCTAGAGGAGGTGTAACCTGCTTGTCCCCTTGGAAATATTATTTGGTTTGCCTGGACTTGTTCACATTATGGCATTTAACTTATGGATTTTCATGGATTGTACCTTTAAATATTACTGTTGTATACAGTAAATATGTCATATTTACATTCTGAAATGAGACACTGAGCCCGTGCTCCTGTATTTATCTTACTGCGTGGGTTTATTTATAGCACTGGTTCCCAAGGTGAGAGTTGGTTGTGATATTATTTCAAATTGCAGTTTTACAACTATGACACTGTATTTAATTGATTTAAAAATGTCATAAAAAGAAAAAAAAAACACAAAAAACTTCTTCCACCTGCAAAGTTTGGGAAGTGCACCTCTAAACCCAATACTGAAGTGAAGTTTTTGCTATTTTATGAAGATCACATCATTTAAACTGTCCATATCAGTAAACATTACAGGTACAGGACTTTATAGTGAAGCATCTGTTATTTTTATAACATCTCGAGGAGTTTTTTTTTTTAAAAGATAAGAAGGTAAAAAGTCAATCAGATGTCCAGATAGTGCACATTTATGGAGAAATCTACGTATACTCTTTAAAATCACACAAATGTTAACTCAGCGCCATTCATTACCAGTAATCCACACTTGCCAAAATACTGTAGTTTCCTTAACAAATTTATGAATGGGGATATAGGAGCTCTATGTCTTTCTAATGCACTGTCAGCATCTATGGTTTAAGTCAGTGTTTCCCAAACGTTTTTCTGGGGACTCATATTTTAAAAAATCTCAAACTTACGTGAACTAAGTCAGTAGATATTATTCATAAATCACAAAATAAAGGTGGATTTGACCAGATCATTTGAACATTAATGAGGATATTTTTATGGAGTAAGAAAGCTTTCAAAAATATTTGTGCGCATAGAATAGAAATCCGTGCATATTTGGGAAATCTGTGCATATTTGTCTGTAGTTGCGCATAAAATAAATATTTGTAAACTCTCAAATGAGTCCAGTTGTACATAAAATATATTGTATGTATTTTATCCATCAGAATACGAATTGAAAAGTTTCAATGTGAAAAATGACAGTCACGAAATGAAAATTTACGATTCCGCTTTCATCAGTACGAATGTGAATTCACAGAATGGACTTTACTGTCAAAAATACATCATCATTTCACAGACATTATTTATCGAGCAGAAGAAACATCGATCAAGATCAAGACTGCGCATGCTTAAGTTTGTAGCAGAGGGTAAAAACGGAGTAATGGCACAACAAGGAGCTACAACAGCGACCAAGTGGGTTAATTAAAATTTACTGTTAAAATGTCTTGTCTTGCCACATTGAATTTGGGAACCAAACGCTGCTGTGTAATATTGTGCAGAAATACCTCCTCTGAATGGGAAATTGCACCTATATCTTAGATAACCTAGTGGAGCCAGTTGGCGAACATCAGACGTAAAGTTATCCCAGGGTTAATTAGCAAATATCAGGGTTCGCTGTATGTTTAGATTAAAACATTCATGGCTACAGCCACAGCGAGCATCAGTCAGTCTTAACCTTCATCTCAGCTGCATTTCTCTCATGAAATATGACCAAAAGTTCCTCAGAACGCTGAAATGTCCCAGTTTACACCAAACACTTTCAAACTGTCCTGGTTACAGACATCACAGCCAGAAATGTTACACATTACAGTTTAATGCAGCTTCCAGCATCAATTAATGTTCGTGTTTACAGGCAACACCTTGGTATGTATACAGTATTTACCGGTAAGTATAACGTCACCATGTCGTGGCGTAGATGAATTTGCTAGTTCATTATAACCCATTATAACTCATATATAACCCATTGTCTGTAACCAGGCCAGTGTTTTATTGTTAACTGAGTGATCATGTCTCAGTGAAACAATGAAAAACACTGAACTAGCGATAAAAAGTATCCATAAGTCGCCTATTTGGACATTAAATAAAGCCCAATTATTTTTCTTTTCAACATTCAACTGAACTAGCAGTATTGGAATAAAAATAGTCAATAAAATTATTACAAAAAGATTAGAAATTATACAAAACATGTCAGAACTGTATATTGCAGACCTACATGCAGATTGTGACAAGGTGATTTCTAGAGTAAAGAGGCGGGAGGAGGTGTTTCTACTGAGTGAGCTGTGGAGGAGGAAGGTGGTGTCACGCATGCACAACATTTGAAAAAGGACTGTCGCTGTATTTCACTTCCCTTTAAAAACCCTCTATACAACTTTTAAGTCACCAAAGATTCTCTATGCATCACCATGTTGGAGCACAAGTTTCCACAACAAACATACTAAACCACAAATAGTTTCAGTGGTACATCAACATCATCCATGTACTTTTTCTTCTTACAACTTGGGTGCAGTCAGTAAAGCTTGTTTTTCCCCCCACACACCGTAAATATGTGACTCATGCTGATTTGCTTAAGTGCCTCAGAAAAGCATTAAGTTCCATTTTAGTGTGGGCCAATTACTCAAACCATAAGTAGTAACCTGGGGGGATACATGTACTCAAATTGTGTTTTCGCATGCTCAGGTTCGACCACTAGCTAATCATGAAAAAGTTAATGATGCTAAATGGCCCAGTTTGAGACAGATTATGGTTAAAGTTCAGTGTTCAGTGCCACAGACAGACATTTTAAAGGTGCACTTTTCTGACGTCTCCATGGAGTTGTGTTTTGAGTTCCCTGGAATGTTCCAACGTATCCATTTAGAGTTTATTCATTACAGGTGTTTCTATTGCTCAAAATACAATAATTCCTTCTGTGAATGGGGTCCACTCTCCACAGATCTGAATTGTAATGTAGCGTAGTGCTGGGACCTGCTTGTCTCCATCGTGATAGACAGGTTTAAGCTATACAGTGGAACATTCTAGACTAAGCAGTAATATTTCCATGGAGACAAGTTGTGAAAGTTAAGAAACGTTACGCAGAGCACTTTTAAAGTTTGACCCATTTTTCAGTTGTGACAGTGATGATATGGTAGAGTTTGAGTTGCAGATTCAAAAAACGTTTTATTAATTTGCAGACCTTGTTAAAAACACTTCTCTCTTAGTAATATAAAGGGATTATTATTATTTTATTTTTTTTTTTTTTACCAACATGCGAAAAGAATAGAAACAGAACAAAACATAAGACATACAGGTATACAATAGGGATGGGCCATTTGATTAAATATTCTTAATCGATTGTCAGGAGAATTAACGATCGATTATCAATTAATCATTAACGTTTTTTATATTAAAATGTATCATCATTATTATTACTATCTGCACTACTAATCTGCATAAATAAATTCAATTTTACAACATATAAATCATAACCACTCTAGAGCCACATCAGCCCGTTTGAGATTATAATGTGTTTAATGCAGATTTGTGCAAGTCTCACAGAAACGAAAGACTGTTTTTAGTGGCAGGATAACTATGGCCATTGACATGCACTAGTCTAGCACCAGTGACCTCTGCAAATATAAGAACTGGATGGAATATTTAAAAAAGAGTCTCCACATGTCTCCAACGGTCTGGCTCACTAGGAAATAAGGTCCTATGTCCAAAATTCCAGACTGTCCCTTTAAAGCTACACTAAATAACTTTTCTTGCTGTTATCGCTTTGCTTTGAATGTTCCACAATATGGGTTTAAACTATTTATTCAAGTTCAGGTATTTTTATTGCTCAAAAATACCTTCAAAAACTTGTTGTACTGTGAGCAGAGTCACTTCTCCACAGATCTGACCTGTAACATGGCCTGGTGGTGTCACAGTGATGCGCCATAAAGATAGAAATGTTAAATGTTGTACTGAGAAAGATTATGGACAAAGCAGTAATATCTCCATGGAGACAGGAGAACAGGTTCCAGAAAAGTTACACAGTGCAACTTTAAAACATCATGATGGCATTTAGTGGATTACAAATGACTTCAGTTGCATTTTTACTGTACTATACCATAAAAACTTACACTCTCTGTATATTTTGTGTTGACAGATCGTCCCAAGTGCTGCGCTGTCTCTGGTCCCTTGGGTGCTGGTTCAAGCCCTGTCCCGTGGGAGAGGGGGGTGTGTCTTCCTCTCGTTCGTGGCTTCGTGGGTTCCTCTTCCTCAAAGTGGTCACTCTTCTCCTCTTCCCCCACTGGACTGCCTTGGGTCTCATTTTGGGATGTCCCTTCAGCATCAAAGCCCTGGTCCTACTCCTATCTCCTCAAATCTCCACCAAACCAACTACTGTCTTTCTTTTCCATCTGGCTCTCGCTGACGCTCTGCTCATGCTACACTGGATGCTTCCCATTGGACATAAAATTGCCATATGTTTTGGGGTGGACTTCAACAACTTTTTAACACAAGATCTCCAAATATTATGGTTAAAAAATGCATTTACCATCTTCTCAAACCACCTTCTAGATGCTCACCTTTTAGCTTCTTTGTTTTTCTTGGGTTTTGTCGGACTTGAAGCCACCATGGTCTCCCGTTGGCCTCTTCAAACTCGTAATATCAGAACATCCCATTGGGCACAGCTGGGGTGTTCCCTGGTTTGGGTCCTGGTCCTGTCTGAACTTGTTTTGGTGATTTTTTCAACAATCCAAAATACACAAACTCCGCCCTCTTTCTTCTCATTGGACACACTGTCTTTCTGCCTGAGGAGAGTTCTGTGGCTGTATGACTTATGGGTCCATTATAACATTATTTATCACAAACCACAGAAGAGAAGGAGCTCGTTCCATTAAGACCATAAAATGTACACTGCGAATGAGTGTTATATTGTATAGACATGGGTTTTGGGCCTAAACTGTATAAAGAAGTGAACTAAGGGAGTGTGATGTCACCCCTAGTAATCGGCTCCAGTCAAATGAGGCTCATGATACTAGCGTTTATAAGGGCTGATTTGGAGCCAGTTCCATATTAGGAATTTATTTACAGACAAAATTGTGAAATAAAAACACCAGGGTCATGTAGACTTAGACTTTATTTTCAAAAGAGATGGGTTCATATGAGCATTGCGATGACAGTTTTTCAGTGTAAAGTCAATTGGAGGCAGAGACGATGGAGCTGGTAGCACCCCCATGCTCACTTCGTCTTTGGAATACGGCAGCTAGCAGGGTAGCTATGTCCATTTACAGTCTATGGTTTCAGACAGAGTTACTGTCCAAAGATGTATCTTTGAAGGGAAGAGTAAATAGAGTAGAGTAGAGGAAATGCTTTGAAACAGTCTGGTGAACAGATAGTGTGGGAACAGATAATGGATAAACACAGATGAACTCACATGGGCCATTAAGGAGCCGTTGAGTCTGCCAGAGCTAACCAGAAATACTCAACTTATATCAACTAAAACCACACCAGATGGTTACTGGTATCTCTTTTAAGGGCCAATATTACTTTTATTTATTTATTTTCTGATCTATGTTATAATGTTGTTTACTCATCAAAAACATGGAGTTAGAGTTTTGTTTCGTTTACACATGTTTAAACACACAATCCCTGAATATTTAGGCTAAATTCTTCTCTCAAACAGAAAACACTCACTTTCACTAAAATTATTTTGATCATTTCAGCCCTGGGATTGCCAATCTCTACTGAACAAAAGGTAAAAGGAAGCTGTTAAATTGAAAACCACTTTATGTGTGAATGAAAACAAAACACATCTACAGATATGTTTTTAAGGTGTTATAACATGGCTTAAAGCTCACAAGAGTCAATTCAGCATAATGTAGGACCTTCAAAAGGCAAATTTGGATGAGTGATTTTGAGATGCTATGAACAATATCATAATAGTGGAACACAATTAGGTAAAGAAAACACAAAACTGCATGTAAAGGTTAAATCTTTTATTAATTTTAAAAAGCCAAGACAGAAGTTATAAGTTTCTGGCAACTGGAAGTGAGACATGCCTTTTATTTGTACTGCTCTGTCTTCATTGTTGAGTTCATTGGACAGTTTAATAGGTTTCCTCTGAAGTCTATCTGATCTCATTGGTTTTTAAGAGGAAACTCAACATCACTCTGGTCTCCCTCTGAAACATTATGTCTAAACTATTTATCAACTTTGACAATCTCTACAAATGAAAATGTTGATACGATATGGTCTCTGTAAAGTTGCATAACTTATAAAACATATTTATGTAACACATCAAACATGTTTATTTAATGTTATTTAACTGTGTAAAATTGTATCATTGTCAATGTACTTATATTGTATCAAATAAACTATAGTATAAGAAACCATACGCATTTTTTTTGTCATTTAATTAAAAAACAAACAAACAAAAATAGAAAAGACACAACACAGCAGTGGTGGACTGTGCACTTCACACCTAGGCCTTCAGTAGTAGCACGGAGAAGAAGGGAGGAGTGTTTCAAGACATCTACATGACCTCTGCTGTGAGCGGCTTAAGTAGGTCACTGCTGATTTCAAAAATCAACAAAATGATTTAAAATTTTACACACACACACACACACACACACACACACACACACACACACACACATATATATATATATATATATATATATATATATATATATATATACACACACACACACACACACATATATGTGACATTAAAAAGGTTTATTCAGGTTATATACATTTAATAGTGTAGTGCAAAAAAAGTGTAAATATGTGTCCATGCTTGTAATACTTACCTACCTAGTATAGTACCCAGAGTACTTGTGTACCTGGAGCTTCTGCCAGTGTCTCTAGAGTAGACCACGTCCATGCCCTGTTACTTACACTGCTGACACACAATCATTATGGAGACCAGGGAGTGGAGTCTGCCCCCTGTCCAGGCCCCTCCATGCAGCACTGCTCCTTTGGGCACACTCACATCAGAGGCACCAGAAGGAGCACTGTCATGGTGCATGGTTCTGGTAGCATTTGTTTAATGACATTGGCAGTACAACTTTTTTCTGATTTTGATTTCTTCTGCTGTGGCGGGTCGTGTCTTTCACAGATCTAAACACAAATGTCTGCTGTGGGACTGAGGCTGTGAACAATAAGTCTGAGTCTGAACCAGAAAGTAAAAGTGTGGGACAAAATCAGTAGTGTTCAGATGGAAGATTTGGCCTCTGTGTGGAGACATCGGGTGCTCCAAAAGACTAAGGCCATACTGAGCCAGCCTAACCATGTACTACGCTCACAGTTTGTGCAAATGTCCTCTGGGAGGCGCTATATCACCCCACAGCAAGACCAACCTCTACGCTAAATCTTTTATTCCTTCTGCCATAAAGCTTTCAAATGGAAAGTAAATTTGCTATTGTGTCCCTGATGCACTGAGGTTTGAATGTATGGCATCTGTTTTTCTTTTTCTTTTATTATTTATATATTGTGCACGACCAGAGATGTGTGAACTGAATTGCCCTTTTGGGATTAATAAAGTTGTTGATTAATTGATTGATTGACTAAGATCTGGGCAAAACAACAACATTCAAACCAGTCTATGAACCTATGACACCATGTCTTTTGAAGGGTAAACCACTGATTTGTCTCCATGGAGATGTGGAGTATTGCAGTAAACCAAACTCTCTCTATAAAGACAAAATGTTAATGCTCCCAGGTCAAGTTACAAGTCAGATCTGTGGCGTGACAAGTCTCACATTAATAATGTTATGCACACACTTGAAACAGCTATAACTTATAATAGGTTACATAAATTGAATTTAGTGATATACTCTATAACTTTTCAGTTAAAAGAATCTCCATGGAGACAAGCAAGTAGCGGACTCCAATCAGAAAAGTTACATAATGCCCCTTTCAGTAAATTGTAATAAACAATACAATGTACATGTACAAAAACCAAATCAACCTTCTGTTTATTGACTCATTTCTGTACGTTCTTTCAGGGTGGTCTTCTGATCAGCTCCATCTCTGGTTCGTCATCTTTTCTGAAGACATGATTCTTCTTGTCAGCTTCATCAAATCATTTCTGATCAACTCATGTTCTTCATCTTCTGGAAGCGGCGGACTGGCAATTGTTCTGGAAAAGCCCAGAACAGCCGTTCACTCGTGGACTGGTCCTCAATTTCCACCGTGGGTAGAGGAAAATTCCAGGGCCTTTTTTTGGTCCCAATTTGCCCGTCTTCTGGAGATACAGTTCTTCTGGTCAGCTTCATCAAATCACTTCTGATGTGCTCTTGTCCTTCATTTTCTGGAGACATGGTTCTTCTCGTCAGTTTCATCAAATAATTTCTGATCGCTCATGTTCTTCATCTTCTGGAAACACGGTTCTTCTGGTCAGCTTCATCAAATCACTTATGATCTGCTCTTGTCCTTCATCTTCTGGCAGCGGCAGACTGGCAATTGTTTTGGAAAAGCCCAAAACGGCTGTCCGCTGGTGGACCAGTCCTCAATTTCCACCGTGGGGGAAAATTCCAGGGCTGTTTTTAGGTCCCAATCCGCCCCTGTCTTCTGGAGATACAGTTCTTCTACTCAGCTTCATCAAATCACTTCTGATGTACTCTTGTCCTTCATTTTCTGGAGACATGGTTCTTCTCGTCAGTTTCATCAAATAATTTCTGATCGCTCATGTTCTTCATCTTCTGGAAACACGGTTCTTCTGGTCAGCTTCATCAAATCACTTCTGATCTGCTTTTGTTCTTCATCTTCTGGAGAGATGGTTCTTCTCATCAGCTTCATCAAATAATTTCTGATCAGCTCATGTTCTTCATCTTCTGGCAGCAGTGGACTGGCAATCTGTATTCTGGAAAAGCCTAGAACGGTCGTCCGCTCGTGGACCGGTCCTCAATTTCCACCATGGGTCGATTTGTGGGGGAAAATTCCAGGGCCGCTTTTTGGTCCCAATCTGCCCCTGTCTTCTGGAGATACAGTTCTTATGATCAGCTTCATCACATCACTTCTGATCAGCTCATGTTCTTTATCTTCTGGAAATACTGTTCTTCTGGTCAGCTTCATCAAATTACTTCCGATCTGCTGTTGTCCTTCATCTTCTAGAGACATGGTTCTTCTAGTCAGCTTCATCACGTCACATCTGATCAGCTCCTGTTCGTCATCTTCTGGAGACACGGTTTTTTTAAGCTTCATTAGATCTCAGGACTAGGGGCTCAGCTGGCCCCTCCAAACCAGTCACCATGGAACAGAAACAGAAACAGAAACAGAGTTAAGGCGTGTGCACATTCAAAATAAGATACTATGGAATTATTAATTCTTACCTCATGTTTGTTTATTATAACTAGAGTCAAATGATTTGAATAAGTCAAGATGACTTACAATAAAACACTTAGACCTAGAGAGGAGAAGCACTCCCATCTCTGCAGTTACAATTCTTAACAGTACTGTAAAAAATTGTACTGCCAAGAATTGTAACTGCAGAGATGGGAGTGCGTTCACTGACTTTTACAAGAAAACAAAACAAACACCCAGTGTACATACTTTCACAAACAAAACAACAATCATTCAGTTACAAATGAATCAGAACAATTACAGTCATTCAGAGAGAAGCAGGGAGTGTCCCACTGACTGGTGAGTTAGTAAACAAACCCACATCTCAAGATACAATCATTCAAAACAGTACAAGTCTCCAAAGAGACTATTTACAAAGGCTTTCAGTAAAATACACATTTGATTGGATTTGAAATGGTCCGTTACTGGCCGTACAATGTGAATCCAACACAACAAGAACAGGAGATATGAGTGAACAAAGCCACACCTCCACACTTTATGATTATTCTCTCATAGTTATTATAATGAGATTTGCAGTTGTTGAGAATATGGCTCACTGCCTTAAAGCTCCGTATAATATACTTTTTTTGTATAACACATTTAATCCTTAGTAGTTGTAATACTAAGTAATATAAAACACACTCACCGCTAATCCTCCTATGCCCAGAAAAACAAAGGTTTACAGTAAATGCAAGGTGTACTATGCTGGAATTTCTGATTTCTGATTAAATTTAAATCAATTAGCATCCTAGCACTTTCAGTATAAACTAACCTGGGGCCCAACTGCATATTACATATACATAGTATAATAAGATAGTTAACAATCACTCAATTAAAATATAGTCAATGATAAAACTTTACATTTTATCATCAAAGTTTTTATGAAATCCTATATAATAATCCTTGCTTTTTTCCTGCTTAAAAACTATAAAACTTATTTTCACCTCAAACTCAAAAAGTAAAAAGTCAAGTTGCACTATGCAGGAATTTCTGTCAAACTGTAGTACTCAAATAAAATTTTACATTAATTACATTTTAGTCAGTGAAAAGAGTAAAATGTATTATTACTATTATTATTATTATTATTGTTTGCTTGTTGAAATCCTACATAGTGTTCCCTACATTTTTTGTACATTTTTTTGTTTCTAAAAATATATATATATATATATATATATATATATAATATATATATATATATATATATATATATATATATATATATATATATATATATATATATATATAAATATAAATCTGTATAAATATAAAAAATCTGTATAAATCAAAAAGTGTAAGGTGTACTATGCAGGAATTTCTGTAAAACTACATTACTCAGATTTGAATTCAGAATAAAAATTACAGTTTACTCAACAAGAAAAAGTTATGTCTTATTACCAGTGTTTGTTGTTTTATGAAATCCTACATAGTATTCCTTACCTTCAATCTATTGGTTTTTAAAAATCAATCAATCAAGAAATCAATCAAGAAATCAATGGGATGATGGGCGTGGTTGAAGGTGGTAAAATTTGCCGCATTGAGCCAAGCTCTGAGTCTCAGAGGCTGAGTTCAGTCCTCGTCCGTCTCAGAGTCTTGGAGCAGGTGGTGGTGGTGGAACCTGAAGTGTCCAGATGTCCTAGAGGAGGTGGAGGACCTTGGGTGGGAGGTGGAGGGGTCTGGGTCGGAGGTGGTGGGGCCTGGGTCGATGGTGGAGGGGCCTGGGTGGGAGGAGGAGAGACACGGCCGCTTGGAGCTAGGGTCATCCTGTTCTTCATCGTCTTCATCCTTGATGCGCTTGTGTCCGCTGAGAGGAATGAAGTCCAGAGCAGGACCCACAGGAGGAGGACATGGAGCAGCAGGAGAGCTGGGTGCTTGCGGCTGAGGAGGGGGGATCGGAACACGATCCTCTGGCTCCACAGCTCGAGCAGGAAACATCCACCGGGCCGCCCAGAGACGAGCTAAGGCGTTGACTGCTTCCATCCGTACTTCCTCTTCAAGGAACACTCCCCTCTCTTCTTCCTCTTGGATCAGCACTTCC